GATTAAGAATATAAGTAAGGGAATTCTAAAGATAAGATATGAGTAGAGATCTCTTATAGACTGTTTGATAACAAAGTATAAGGGGTGAAAGCGAGAACGGCTTTTTTCTAAGTCAAGAACCCTAATAACGTGTTTAGTAAGGAGTTTGCTTAGGGCAAAGACCTTAGGAAGTAACGACGAGACTGACCCCTTCTCACTCACCAGGTCGAGGAAGGGTTAGCGGAAGTGGATCCCGAGAAGGAGCGAGGCGAGCAGCCGTACCAGCTTTGATGAGAAGTAAAGGAGCTCGTGAGGAGTTAGAGTTAGAATGGTTTAATTACTTTGTTGCATGGTTAGGAGTATAAACTGGATATATTGTGTTAAGTTGTTTTAAGTGTTTGAGATTGAGATTTTGCCCAAGTGTTGGGGCTTTTTGTTTAAAATTCTTAAATAATGTCAGCTTGTTTATTTTAAAATGGGGTTTCGAGTTACTCCGGAGTAACCGGTTTTTGGTTTTGAGTTATGGTTTGGTTTTCCAAAAAAAAAATATTGGGATGTTTCATTAATCATATCCACTGTCACCTGAACGATTTCAGGTCCCTCCAATTGCCTTAACCCTTCCTCATCCCAGCACACTGGGGATTTGCATTTCCTTCCCTACAGAGCTTCATATGGAGCCATACCAATACTACTCTGGTACTGGTTATTATAAGCAAATTCAATCAGCGGCAAATGTTAATCCCAAGAACCATGGAAATCCAGTACACAAGCTCGCAACATTTCCTCAAGAGTGAGGATTGTTCGCTCGGATTGACCATTGTTATGGGGATGAAAAGCGGTTGAAAAGATCAAACGAGTACCCAGTGCTTCTTGCAAAATTTTCCAGAATCGAGAAGTAAACCTCGGATCTCTGTCAGATACGATGGATATTGGTACTCCATGTAGTCTCACTATTTCCTCCACATACTTCTTTGTCGGTAACTCTAGCGAACAACCCCATCTAATGGGTATAAAGTGAGCCAATTTTGTCAATCGGTCCTCAATAACTCAAACAGCCTCGTTCTTCTTCTGAGTTCTAGGTAGACCATAGACAAAGTCCATTGTACCCTTTTCCCATTTCCATTCTGGAATGGACAATGGTTGCAATTTTCCCGTTGGGGCTTGATGTTCAGCTTTCACTTTTAGACATACTAGACACATCAAGACATGTTCAGCCACTTCTTTCTTCATCCCTGGCCACCAATAATGAGATCTCAACGAGCGGTAAATTTTTGTTGTTCCAGGATTCATTGCATAAGGAGAGGAATGAGCTTCTTCCAAAATCTCCCTTCGCAATTCATCCACATTTGGAACACAGAGTCTTTCATTTAGTGTCAGACCTTCATCTCGAAGTGTGAATTTGGTTTCTTCCCCTTTACGACTCTTATCAATAATCTTCCTCAATTTAGGATCTTGATCCTGAACTTTCATAACTCTTTCTCTCATAATTGGTCGCACTTCTAAAGTGGACAATAACTCTCCTGCGGAATTCATTTCCAATTCAACACTCATAACTCTCAAAGAAATCAAATTTGCCATTAAACCACTCTCCTCATTTCCAGTACGATGCTTTGTCTTTCGACTCAAAGCATCTGCCACAACATTTGCATTGCCTGGGTGGTATTTGATGGTACAGTCGTAATCTTTCAACAACTCTAAGCACCTCCTTTGCCTAAGATTTAGCTCTTTTTGCTCCATCAAGTACTTGAGACTCTTATGATCAATAAATATATGAAAAATCTCACCATAAAAATAATGACGCCAAATCTTTAAGGCAAAGACCACAGCCGCCAGTTCTAAATCATGAGTCGGATAGGATTTCTCATATGGTCGTAATTTCCTGGAAGCAAAAGCAATTACTTTACTATGCTACATGAGAATATCCTAACCCTTGATGCGAAGCATCACGGTATACCACATAACCTCCAGTTCCTGAGGGAAGGGCAAGAACCGGTGCATTGGTTAACTTCCGCTTCAACTCTTCGAAACTGGATTGACATTTGTTATCCCATATAAAGGATTGCTCTTTTCTCAGTAACTTTGTCAATGATGCAGCAATCAGAGAAAACCCCTCAATGAACCTTATGTAGTATCCGGCCATGCCAAGGAAACTTCGTAGTTTAGGTATATTTTTCGGTGGCTCCCATTGTATCACTGCTTCTACTTTCCTTGGATCCACCTTTATACCTCTCTCGGACAGCACATGGCCCAGAAATACTACTTGATCCATCAAAAATTCACATTTGTTGAACTTAGCATACAACTATAGGTGTCAAAACATAGCCCAACCCGATTAACCCGCCCAATGAACCCGACCCGCAACCCGACCGCAACCCGAATTGACTAAAAGTCAACAACCCGTAACCCGACCGACCCGCAACCCGATTGACCCGCAACCCAACTAACCCGCAACCCGACTAACCCGCAACCCGATTAACCCAAACCCGATTGACCCGCAACCCGACTGACCCGCAACCCGATTGACCCAAACCCGACTAACACGTAACCCGACCAACTCAACCCGAATTTCATCTAATCCACTTGAATAATTATAAAAATATACAATACATAGTTTTCAAAATAAAGTTTTTCATTCTAAACTTAAGTAAAATTATTTTTTCATTTCGTATAAGAAATTTTAAAAATATGAAACTCACTTGATATTACGCATTTTAATAAAATTACAAAAATTGAAACATGAAGGTCACTTGAGATCATGACAATATTAATATAATATATAAATTAAAATTTTGGTTAATTTAACTATTCAATAAAATTATCAATTAAATATAAATAAAGTAAAGTAATGTATTTGGTAATTTGATGTTTTTAAAAGAAGAGGGAAATTTTGGTGTATTCAAGTTTTTGGGAAGAGAAAAAAAAAGGGAAATTTGGTTCTTTGAATTTTTTAGAAAAGAAACAAGTGGGAATTTTGGTGGTTTTGATATGTGGGAAGAGAAAGAAGTGTGAAAGTTTGATTCTTTCGATTATGAAAGAGAAATAAGGAGGGAAACTTTTGACTTTTCAACTTTTAGTAGAACGAAAGAAGAGGCAGGGGCGGACCTAGGCACAAGGGAGGTGTGTCATCTGACACACCTCCGCCCGAAAATTTTGTGAAAGACCCCTAATTCGTCAGTACTAAAATTTTGATCTCGGGATTTCCGACACACCTCTGATCATTGTATCCGACACAACTCCATTGTTTCTTTCAATTTTATGAAAGAGAAAGATGAGGGAAAATTGAATTTTTCTAATGTATGGAAGGAGAAAGAAGGAGGGAAATTTTAGTATTTTTGTGAAAAGAAAGAAGGAAACAAATTTGGTGTTTTCAATTTTTTGGTTTTTCATAATTTTAGCTTTTGAAATATGAATCTTTAACTTTTATATGGAGGGCATGACTAGTTAAAATTATTATTATATGCTTTGAAGGCTAATATGTATATATGTATGTAATTTTTTATGGACTAATAAATAAATTAACCATTAGTTACAACAATTTATACTAAACTTGATAAGTAATCTTTGACGGTTCGTTGTTTAGGATATAAAGTATATGGTTAGAGTATAAGGTATAAGGTACATATGGTTTAGGGTGTATATGGTTAGGGTATAAGATATTGATGGTTTTGACGGTTCTAAGTTTTTTATTAACATATGTTCACTTGAAGTCATTTGAAGTCTTTAACGGCAGGAGATCCCTTCTTAATTTATGTTTATGGTACGTGGTTAGGGTACAAGGTATGTGGTGTAAAGTATAGGATATATTGTTAGGGTATAACAATTAGCAAATATCACTTTTTATCTATGTTTTGAAAATCAAAATATGAATTTCACTTTTAAATTAACTATACTAGCAAAATCACAACTCAAGGACATATGATTAAGGTATAGGTTATGTGGTTAGTGTTAATAGTGTATAATGTATTGATGGTTTAGGGTATACAATCAACAACATATACTAACTTAATATTGTTGATTGAGGGTAAAGCTAAGTGTATAGGATATATGCTATTGAGTAAGTTATGATTGAAGTCGCAATAATTTTACTAAATTTGATAGCTAAATCTTTAATGGTTCAATTTTTAGGATAATTCGAACAATTTTACAAATAACTCGTTTGGCAACAGTTTACTAAAGTTATTTGGGCAATGAGTTATTTTTAAATAACTCCTTTTATCACTATGCTTTTGCCAAATACCACACGCCAAATACCAGATTTGCATGGTTATACTAAACGAGATACTTTAATCCAATTACTACTGAATTAATACTAAAATATCAAATAAACAATTAACGGTGTCTTTTGGTTGCAAATATTGATATCACCATTACTATTAGCTATAATACTTTACCAATTATGATTAATTACATAACAAGTTTGCAAGTCATACAAATTGATTTAACATTTTGACTAGTTTTTTTCAAAAAAATAAAGTAAATATATACGAGGTAGAAATAAATTGGTTAAAAAGTTGAGAAAATATTTTAAATTAGTGTAAGTTGGTAACGAGTAATGAGTTAAGTTACTTGATGCGCTGGCCCGAACAACCCGAAACCCGACCCGCCCGCAACCCGTCCGACCTAAATTACTTCCTTGGTATAACAGTTCATTACGACTTTATGTTGGCTTAACCGATCCATTCCCAGAATTATATCAAATTCAGTCAACATTAACCTCAATAAGTTAGCTGGCAGAATAGTTCCAGCTATACTTATTGGGGCATCAGGATAGACATATTCAATCATTACGGTATCCCCTACTAGGGTTTGAACTATTATATTCTTGTTCAACATTTCAGAGTGCGCAGGCAACCCACGTGAGAATGTAGAATATATGAATGAATGAGTAGCACCAGGATCAATCAACGCATAAGCAATAAGATCATAGATAATAACCGTACCAGTAACGACCTCTGGAGAGATGTCAGCCTCCCTCCTAGTCATAGCAAAAGCTCGTGGCTGCACTTCACCCTGCTGCTCTGTCAACCCTGACTTTTGCCACGATTATTACCACTTCTTCCTGATCCACTCACTGGACCTACAGTCCTTTTGTACCCTTGAATTGTAGTCTGGGATCCAACAGGCCTGGACCTTGACATATGGGGAGAATCTCGGAGAAAGTGGTTGGTGTCTCGACATCGGAAACACCCACCAGTCACCCTCCTGCAAACACCCATGTGCTGATTCCCACAATGTGGGAAAATAGGAGCTGGACCTTCACTTCTCCTCTCCTGTCCGGGGTAACTAGCCACTGGATGTGAAACCCTCTCACTCTGATTAGGTCTACTCCCGAATGAGTTCCCAGCACTCGAAGAACCCACGTTCTTCCACTTTCTCTTCCTTCCTTCAGCCATCTGTGCTCCCATTTTCATTCACCAAATCCTCTACTCTCATGGCAGCCTCTCTCAAGGTGGCAAGGTCAGACGTCTCCTATTTTTGTACTATTATCTTGATTCGGGGATTCAGGCCTTGTTCATAGCGGTTGCATCTAGCTCGTTCAGTAGGTACCAACTCCATCGCGAAGGTCATCAAACGATGGAAAATGGCATCATACTCTTTAACATTCTGCCCCTTTGTTGTTTCAGGTCCAGAAACTCTTTCTTCTTCCTATCCACATACAGATCAGGCACATATTGCTTACGGAATTTCACAAGAAATTCCGCCCAGGTATATTGAATTGTACGATCCTAAGCCTCGGGTACGATCAACCACCAGTCATAAGCATCAGACATGAGCAAGTAGTACATATACTCCACTCTTGCTTCATCAGGACACTCAAGGTGGTTAAAGATTCGTTCCATCTCCTTGATCCAGTACAGTACATCTTTAGGGTCAATAACCCCTTTAAAGAACTCAGCCCCCAATTCCTCAACTTTTCAAAATCCTTGACATAAGGATTGGCTCTACTGCGGGACTCAGCATTATTCACATTAAGATTAGAACCTCCAGCATTAGGATTCCCGTGAGGTTGCAAATCTGCTCCTTGACTGAACTCCACAAAAACAAAATACAAAGTCAAAACGAATAATTTAGTGACTTCCCCGTGAAATCATTTAAGTTTTCCCAGTAAAAATCTCGTTTAAAACGTTTGTTATCCACGCGATCATATCCCAGCTCTGATACCAAAAATGTAACACCCTTACTTTACATTAGAAACGAAACAGTAAAATACATCAAGTTTAAACATTCTCGGGCTCGAGCTTTATATATACTTTTTTTTCAAACTTCGAACCATAGTTTACATTTGCAACAGAGTCAAAACAGAAAACCGGGGAAGTCCGCTTTATTACAAAACCACACAACATAAAACATTTAAGGAGTTCGGAGTCCTCCGCCCACCTCATGGCTTCCCTTCAAGCTTGAGTTCCAATATCTACAATACACACCTTACTTCTGCTCTTGATCTGAAGAAAAATGGTGACAAAGGATGAGTCGTCGCTCAATGAATAAATTCTAAACTCAGATCAACATCAATACAAAAATAGTATTGGGCAAAAACACCCTAGCACATGACAGGACTTAAGTTGTTTATCACACTTTTCATTCCACTGAATCAATCAAGTACACATGTTCACATCCCATCTCAGTCAAAACACATAAAACAGATGACAGACAGAGAGTATCCATTGAATCAATCAAGTACACATGTTTGCATCCAATGTACAGCTATCAGATAACTGGAGTACCGCAGGACAAAACCCAGTCTGGTACGATGAGGAGTGCACAAGGCACAAAACGCTCGCACCAACAAGAGTATCGTGGGACGCAACACGGACCGTTACAAAACAAGAGTTGCCACGGGATTACCCCAGCCCGGCTAACTGAACAGAACACACTACTCTGCCGAGCATGGTGCGTAGCACGAGCGCTCAAACAGGAGTATCGTGGGGTTTACCCATATCAATAAAAACAGGACACACTACTGTGCCAAGGTATCATGTAGCCCTTTTACTTATTCTTATGTATTCGCCTTTTTCATTAATAGTTCATTTAGACACATGTCAATAATCATTAACCCGTAGGCTCACTTATACACTATATGCTCATAAGCATTTATAGTGCTTTTGCACCCTCAGTCACAGCAGAATGGAATGTAATCTGAGGAGCTTACTCCGAGTTATTCAAGCAATTTAGGATTAGTAAGCCTAATGGCTTACTCCAAATCTAAGCAGACAAGACGGGTTTGCAAGTTCGAAATGTATTCGGGCCACTTCATGACCCAAATGATGTTATTATGTTGAAGTAGATCTAAGATTAGAATCTACGCACAGTTTTGTCTTCACTCGGCTATGCCCTTCCCTTTGGATGAGCCCCCGGCTTGCTCCTTACCTTTATATACATAATTTTCAGGTTACTCAAGCACCAAGATACATATAAAGTAATCATAATCATGGTTGTGTTCATGCATGTCGATAAGGCCACTAGGGAAGTCGTACAACCGTACACTTTGCCATGCTTCACCATTTTGGTTTTTTCTCCTTTGTTGCGTAACCAATTTTTGTAACCCGATCACAAACACGTCATTATGACGTAATAATTAAAACGAGAATAGGGATGTTACATTAAATGTACGGTGCGATGCACCGTTTTAGTTTGACAGGTTTGCCATTAACTAATCACTGTTTGTTTAAAGTGAACCAATGAGACGGCGACACCTATCTAACTCTTGTAATCCGGATTTAGAACAGAGTATAAAACTGAAAGAGCAACTGAGCTGCTGAGTAGGTTTTCCACCACGCAAAATTGATTCTTCTGAGAAATTTCACAAAAGGTGAGGAAGAGAATCGAAGAAGTGCACCCAATCAAAGGAATAATAGCGAACCAAGAGAGAAAGTCGTCTATGAGGGAGACTCGGGATGCTCTCTTTTCGGGGTCGAGCGAGGAAGGAGAAATGTGAATAAAGTAATGGGATCAGAAGGTGGCGACAGATGGGTGTGGCTTCAAATCGACGGGAATTAGTCATATGGTTGGTGGAGGACTCGGTGTTGTTTCGAAGAGGGTAAAACCTGGACATGATTCGGCCCTGCATCGTTAGCTTGGGATTGATATCATCCTCAAAATCGGAGCACAACTACGGTAATCATGACTGATATGGGAGGGATATCAGAAACAATAACCCCTTGAAGTAGTGGCAATCAAAGCAGATATTAGGTTCGTGAAGGAAATGAGATTGACGATTCGCGAGGAGAAGAGGTGACAGTTTCAGGCGAGGCTGCACGATCTGCAATTTCCATAATGGACACAGGAATGGTAGATGGAGCAAGTAATTAATTTTGGCCCATGGAGGAAGCCCAACTTCCTGCCTCGCAACCAACATTAGGGGTGGAAGTTTGGATTGCGGGTTGTGGATAACCCGCAAACCGCACCACCCTGAACTCATTGTGGGTAACCATACCCACAAGTTGTAGGTAGTGGGTTGGGTGTGGGTAGTAAAATAATAATTTTTGTGGTTAGTGGTTATCTACTACCCACTATGGTTAACCCACAAAATCCACAATAAACATACTAATTATATTTATTTACTTAATTAAATTTATAATATAATAGTATGTCAAAAGTGAGAGGCTAAAAATTAAAGTAGCCACCAAAATCAAATACGCAGTAAAGAAGTTTTATGTGAGAACTATTTAGTTTATAAAACACTATAATCGAGAGAGTGGAGAATAATTAATTCATTAAAAGTGGACACATTTAGTAACTTTTATCTATATATTTTTGCTTTTGTGTGAAAGAAAATATAAGATCATGTTTAATTGTCATATTCCACCCCCTAGTCAGTGAAATATGAAATCACAGATATCTGACACAAAAGTTGAATACCAAACTCGAAAAGAAAAAATCTCCACGTTTAAGATCGATATACAAAATTGTGTCATCACGAACAACACAATTGTATTTCACTATAGTCTAGCTAAGAACAACCAATACGTTAGTGACCGCCTCAACTCCATACTTGCAAAGATAGATTTTTGCGGGTAAACACACCCAACCCGCACTAACCTGCAAAATTTTCATAGATTAATAAAGGAAAAAACGTGGACAGCAGGATTTAAACTTGTGCGGGCAAAGCCCAAATGATTTCTAGTCATGCCCGATAACCACTCCGGCACGTCTACTATTAGTTGTTTAAAGTTACTTTTGATATTATAAAAACGTTTTGTTAAGTTATTGTAACAAATAGTCATGATATATGCTTTTCACTCAATTCATAGATTAATAAAGGTAAGTTATTGTAACAAATAGTCATGATATAGGCTTTTGACTCAGTTCATAGATTAATAAAGGTAAGTTATTAGATTAATAAAGGTAAGTTATTGTAACAAATAGTCATGATATAGGCTTTTGACTCAGTTCATAGATTAATAAAGGTAAGTTGTTGTAGGCTTTTGACTCAGTTCGTAGATTAATAAGAAAAAAACGTGGACGGCAGAATTTAATAAAGGTAAGTTATAAAGGTAAGTTATTGTAACAAATAGTCATGATATATGCTTTTGACTCAGTTCATAGATTAATAAGGAAAAAAGGTGGACGACAGGATTCGAACCTACGCGAGCAAAGCCCACATGATTTCTAGTAATGCCCGATAACCACTCCAGCACGTCCACTATTAGTTGTCTAATAGTTACTTTTGATATTATAAAAACTTTTTGTTAAGTTATTGGAACAAATAGTCATGACATATGCTTAAGAGTTAAAAATATTAAAATATAATCACTCAATAAAATTCACTCACAAACTTTACCCTGTATAATAATTATTACAATTATTCATTGGGAAAATGTTAACAATTATCGTTATCCAAAAATATTAAAATTATATTCTTAACAAATTTATACTCATAATTATCATTATCCACACATATTTTTTTATTATTAACCAAATCATCCTATCAACTTTTTCTGTACTACTAAAACATATTTTACATATCATCGACTGAATTATTTTTTTCGTTGCGAGAGAAATTCGTCAAATACGACAAATCTCGACTTATTTAAATATCTAAACTTTGGGTAGAGTGAGTCCCAAACCCTCAGGGCATATCAACCGCTTCTATACCAATACTCTCCCACTCGAACCCTTGAACCAAGCATCGCCCAAGACCAACCCATTACTCGATTCGCCACCGCGACACCCGTACATCCTCAACTCCCCAGGCCGAACGTAGCAGAGTTGAAATTTGGATTGGGTTACAATTCTCTGAAAGAGTCTTGATCAAGGCATGCAATCAACGTAGGGAGGAAAATCACTAAATTGGCTCATTGTCACTGTCTTCATCGTTACCTCTCTGCACTTGTGTCATGTGATTCAAAATCGAAGGCATCCCTCGGGCAGTGGCGGAGCCTCACGAGGCCAAGGTGGTCATTTG